GGAAATAGAACCAATTGCCATTTGCTGCAATATCAAGAACATATGTCTCAGGCTGGGAAAGAGAAAACCAAGAGGCAGTAAACACTTACAGAGACGTTTGGTGAGGGTTCAGCTTTGGAACACTGGCCGGAATGAGTGTGTATTCCAAAAGCAATGTCCCAGTTTTTGAAATCCTCTCTACGAGGCCCGGGAAATGCACAGCCACCCGGCAGCAGGCTTCAGCGGGGCGCTGGCCTCTGACGCTGGGCGGGGCCCACCGGGACGGATCCTAACGGCCCGGGGGTCCTGCCCTGGTCCTTTCAGTCCCGTGTGCTGTGCTCCGAGCAGGCGGGGTGGGCGCGAGCACTTTTTCAGGTAGAGCTGAACTCCTCGGACATCAGGGAAAGCCAAGTAATGCGCTTGGCGTCTGTCACACTCTCACTGCCGCGCACCCGGGCAGGCGCCGGGGGCCCAGGCTACGTTCAAAACAGGACCTGCGCCTGCTTCCAAGGACGGGGACAGAGCTGGATGTTAAACCAAACCCTTGGGGAGGAAACCAGAAGCGAGAAAGCAGAGAGTCGCTTGGAGCGTATTCCTGCGCCCCAGGGGAATCGGGCGGGCGGCAGATGTGGCTGAATCGAGGCGCGCAGACGGGGGACAGTGACCCCGGGCAGGAAGACACGTGCTAGTCCCCGGGCGAAGTTAGGAGAACTGGAACCAGAAAAGGAGAGGAAGAGGAGCAGTCAAAGGGAGGATGAGACAGGGCGATGACCTGCAGAAGGAGGAGCTGGAGCCAACGGAGGCCTGTGGACCCCCGGGGCACAGCAGGGGTGGGGTGGGGGGGGGGCCAGAGGGCTAACCTGGGTCGTGACCTGCAGTTCCTCGCTCGTTGCCCAAGAGGCGGGCTGTGTGTGCCGAGGACCCTGACACAGGACTGGCCGCTTCACCGAACTGGGGAGAAGGGTTCAGAGTCATTGCCCTGGAAATGGAAAGTTGAAGCCGGAAGAATGGCTGAGCCACTCAAGAGTGAGAGCGCTCGAAGGACGAGACCCCCCTCCGTCCTGCCCGTCCCTCTTTTCCCTGAGAGGTCCAGGCCTCACCCGGAGGAGGCGGGAGAGCCGAGACCCCGCAGAGGGTCCCGAGGGTGGGGCCTGCCGGGCGACCCCAGCAACGCCTTCCGGTGAAACTGGAGGCCAGGAGCAAGAACAGAGGAGCCGCAGTTCACCGACTGCGGGAGGCTACTCGGGGCGTCCGCTCTTGGGGCAGTTCCCAGTCCCATGCGGGGTGTTCTGAGAGGATGGGGTGTTCTGGGAGGGAGGAGGGGCATTGGGGGCTGGAGGAAAGGCCTCTTATAGTAGGAGCTTATAGTAGGAGTAGGAGTTGCTAGGAAAAGAAGCAAGCGGTGAACAGGACCTAGTGGAATGGCCGGGCCTGTGTCTTCCAGGACCTTCCCGGGTCTGGGGCCCCTGCGGGCCTGGGGTGGCAGCAAGGCGGCGCAGCCAGGGCCCCAGGTGGGAGGTCCGGGTGCCCAGGGCGGCCTCCCACACGCCGAGTCAGCGCCCCAGTTGATTCAGGGGGAGTCCGTGCCCTGGGCACACTGGGAGCGGCTGTGACCCCGGAGGCGGCAGGAGGGAGGGCCCAGGCCAGGCCCTTCGGACAGGCCCCCGTGCAGGGAGGAGGGGCAGAGGGGCTGTCAGTGAGAAGCAGCAGGTGGCCCAGAGGCTGCTGGGCTCTGAGGGGACCGAGTCGCCCCAGCGCAGTCCCCGGGGCTCATGGCGGGGGGCGGGGGGGGGTGGGCCGCACTGGCCAGGAAGAGGCTGTTGGCAACTTCAGTGGTTTCGGTTGCCGATTTCAAGGGATGGAGGACTGACCGGGAAGGGGAGAAAGGACGAGGAGTCGTGCTCGTTAACATTTGAATCACGGGAAACCCAAATCCTCTGTGAAACATGATTTTTTCTCTCTGAGCTGTGAAGCTCGCCTGGCGAGCTGCCCCTGCCTGTCCGTCACTAGCCCTAACCTCTCACCTGGCGATAGGGGTCGGGGGCACCCACCCCAGGCCTGACCTTGGATGACCGTGATCATCACTGGGAACCCAGAAGTGGCGTCGTCACGTGGATTTTGGAGCATAACAGTCTTAGCTAACGTGACTTGGCTGGGGTTGGGGGATTAAGGAAAACCTGGGGTCACTTCCTGGGTCTCTGTCTGTTTTGTCTCCGCCCTGGTGGAGGCACGGGGAAGTGCAGATCATTTCATTCCAAACCCCTTGCAGACCTGGAGAGGTCTGAGCTTTTCTAAAAGGAGGGCAGGAGAGAGGCCAATACTTTCTTTTTTAGGAAGGAGGGAGATTAATTGGATTGTCCCTTTCAGGAGGGAGAGGACAATTTGGCAGAAAGCTTCTGTGTTCCCCTGGGACTGCAGGGCTCGGGGGAGCGACCGGGCGTGCAGAGAGGGCCTTCGCTGGGAAGGATGGGGTTGCACTCGGCAGTGAGGGGGAAAAGGGGTCTTTCTGGAGCCCAGTCCTTGTAGGGTTCGGGGGAGCCGGGACCTGCTGCGACGCTCAGCCTGAGACGACAGGGAGAGGGAGGCAGGGCTGCCTTGGACCAGAGACGGGCCCCTTCTCTTTGTCCGGGATTCCAGACGAGGAACCGAAGTGCCCTGACGTGGTTGTGGCCGCCCCACCTCTCCCACAGACGGTCACAGGACCCAGCGCTGTGGCCCAAGCTCTCTCCCGCTGAAGCCGCTGGAGGGGCCACCCGCGTGTCCTGAGTTTTAACGGATTCACACCTGAAAGGGTCAAGTCATTCTTTCTGACGTGGGACATGTTTAACGCGTTCCTATTGTCCTGTTATGAAAAGTTGCAAACACACAAAGGTAGAGTATTGCCAGCTCATGGATAACCTTGTTCAACTGTGCTTGTTTCCCTCCTCTGTTACCATTTTGATGTAAACTTTTTAATGAAGCCTCAGATTATTTTAAAAGCACGCACATTGTACGTCAGCTCAGTGAACTTCCGCATCCCCTTGTATCAGCTTGAAGTGACTGTCCTATTTTGTCAACCACACATTTTACCCTCACGTATTTTTTTTATTGTCACACTCAGTGCGCCCCCTTCACCGTTTGAGGGCACAGGTCAGGAGGCGTGTGAAGTCTGTTCGCGCTGTTGTGCAACGCACCCTGGGCTCCTTCCTTTGGCAACAGGGGACCTGTTTTAAATAGTTTTCAACAAGAGTCATCAGAGAGCTGAGCTGTCACATCTATGTTAGAGGTGCTGTGTGTGTTCACCTCCCGTCACCTTGCACGTGACAGGAGGCAGGAAGGGACCCGGACCGTGGCCCCGGACCTGACGCCAGAGAGGCTCTGTAAACAGGAGGCCCCCGTGTGCCGTGGCCTCCCGGCACCCTCCCTGCGGAAACAAGATTACAGGTGGGACTGCACGTAGCGCGGGAGAGAGGTCACGGCCCCGCGGCCCTGGTACCTGCCGCCTCTGCACGCACAGGAGTGGCTTTTCCCTCGGTCTCCCAGGGGTCCGGCTGCACACTCCAGTCTGAAAGGAATGGAGCAAGAGGCTGTTGCAGGCCTTTCTAAAGGAAGCAGAGAGGAACCGAGAACGTTCGCGGGTTTTCAGATGTGACCCCAAGATCTCCGACCGCAGCCCAGGCCATGCGCGGCCGCAGGCGGGCGGGCAGAGGGCTGCCGACGGCCGTTGCGCGGGGGCTGTGATTCCTCAGCCCGATTCTATCATCACACTATTTACATTCTGTGTCTTCTCTTTCAAGAATATTTTTTTGACATTTGCCTCCTGGCAGAGCAGGGGCCAGTGAGTAGGAGTTGCAGGGAGGTGGACTTGGCTGAACACAAGGGAAGAATTTTCTTAGTCAGAGCAGCCCAAAAATGGAACGGCCTGACTCAGAAGACAGCGTGTCCCCGGCCTGGACGAGGTCCCGGCGAGGTCCCGTCAGGGGAGCACTGCCCGGCACTGTGACAGAGGTGCACAGAAAGCAGCGACAGCCGCCCCTCGGGAGCGCTGACCCCGGGCCGGGCCCAGCCCTGGCCCTTGTGTGTGGGCTCGCACGGCCCCCCTCTGGGATATGTGCTGTGGCAGCTGTCTTTTCCTTCGTTTTACAGTTGGGGAAACTGAGGCCCACTGAGGCCCGGTGAACCGTCCAAGCTGACCGGGCTGGTGAGTGGAAGCCGGGCGGTGTGACCACCCTGTTTGTAACCGCTGTGTCCTGTGTCATGGATCCGATCACCAGCGGCCCGAGGGTTCCACGCCCCGCCCGGGAGCCGCTGTCCTGGTTAACAGGCACTTACGTGGCCACCGACCCAGCGTAATGCGCTCAGGTAGAAGTCAGCGGAGCGGCCAGATCCCAGACCCAAGCCACCACCCGTTAAGGAGGCAGCAGGGCTGCATGTGCTCAGGACAGCGGGCGAGGGACATGTGGGCCTTCCGTTAGCTCTGCCCACCTGGTGCCCTGGGTCTGAGGTCTGGCGACCTGCCTTGTTCCTTCAAGCTTAGGTTCCTGTTTCAGGAATCCACCCCGGGGCCCTCCCCTGAGGCTGCGTCCTTGCCTCGGTCATCTGCCCCGGACACCGTGTCTCTCAGGGCTGAGGGGGCAGTGACGAGAAGGCGAGCCTTGGAATCTGGGCTTGAAGCCTGGGTCACCCGCCGCCAGGACAGGGGGCTCACACTTTCCACCCGCGCTGCCCACGGCCGTGGTGGGGAAGCCTGCGGAGCGGGCCCCAGTGTGCCAGCTCGGGAGGTCGCCGAGCCCGGGCCGGGCAGGGCTCTGGACGAGGCTGACGTCCACCTCTTCCCTCCACCGACCGAGCCCCGCCCGGAGCGCAGCCCTGCGGTTGTGGGACTAGGAGGGCGCCATGCCCAGAAGCCAATTGCACCCGGTCTGCGGAGTGATGCTCTCACGCAGCAGCCAGGCCGCCGCCCTGGGCTGCAGCCGGGCGGCGGTGGGTGCCTCCTTTGAACATACCCTGAGTCAGAAAACTTGGTACCAGGGCCTGCTGTTTGTAAAATGGGAGATGTCTAGAATGTCCCTGAGACGCCTTCTAGCTGTAAAGCGTTGTGATTTACAACCAAGGGAGGCAGGAAAATGTGTGTGGAGCACAGTAAAAACATTTTCTGTAATGGGCTAAGGGGCAGAGCGCAAACGCTCGGCCTCCCGACTCGGCGCCACACCGTTGCAAGTTCAGGCTCCTGCGTGAGGGTGTGTCCTGGTTTCCTTGGGCTCTCGTCTCACAAGGTCCCCCGATAAGACATGAACTAGTGCCCTGACCATAGAGTCCAATCAGGCGAAGTGGCCTAGGGGCTGCAACTTGTCCCCGTGCAGGCGGCCGGGCCGGGCCACCTCAAGCATCGATGTGACAGTTGGCTGCGTGTGAGGCCCCCCTCGCGCATTACCGGCCCCGGGTAGGCTTTCTTTGCTGTGACTCCATAACAGGTTAAAATGCTTCTGACTCTGCACTTGCAACAACCTGGGCGGGTCCGGCCTTCTGCTGGAATGAGTTGACAGGCGGGTGGTCCGGTCCCGAGCTGGCCGGCTCCTCCACGCTTAGCAAGCCTTGGGGTCTCAGAGTCACAGTTTTGAGAAGAGAGCTACTTCTCCCTCCCCATCAAATATTTGCCCCAAATGGCTGCACCCGCTGCCAGTCCGAGATTTCTGAGGGCTGAAACGGGAGGTTCTGTCTTCTCTCTTCCTTTCGAGACCCCTTGGACCGGCAGCCAAACCTTCGTCGAGAGTAAAGGAGGAAATGCTGTCGGTGCTAATATCTCTGTCTTGGGCAACCGTTTGGACCAGAAGTGATAGCACTCTGTGGGCTCTGCACTATTTAAGCGTCTGTCGTCATGACACAGTCTTTGAGGCTTTTGCTCATTTTCCTGATGCTCATCTCTCCCTGTGTTCTTTCCCCACAGCCGTCTGGCCCCCTTCCTGGCCAGCCTCGGTCTGAAACGACAGCATTTCTGAAATCCCGGCTGGTCTCCAGCCCCCAAAATAGTGTTGCTCCCTGGTGCCCAGAGAGTTGTTTTACAATATTGGGCTCTGGCACGTAACAAAGCAAAGCACTGTGACACTTTCATAATACAAGACAGCTCCTGCCCTGGCCAGGGGGGGCTCGGCTGCTTGGGGAGTTGTCCTGTACACCAAAAGGTTGTGGGTTCGATTCCTGGTCAGGGCACCTACAGGAGGCAACTGGCCAATGTTTCTCTCTCACACTGATGTTACTCTCTCCCTCTCTCTCTCTCTCTCTCCAAAATCAATAATAAAATATCCTTGGGTAAGAATTTTTTAAAAAATGCAGGATAACTCATCAAATTGGAAGGACATCAGGTGGATACAGGGGTAGCCTCCAATTCGTCAAAAGCCCTTCCCGAGTAGACACAGGGAAACAGGCCGAGGTGCAGGAAATACTTGCCATTGCGTGGGAACCTCACAAGCAAGCCTTGTGGGTCCCTACGTGTCTTCTAACTTTCTATCCTAAATTTCAAAACTGAGTGATACATTTCATAAGAGGAAACTACTGTTTTCTTAGACTCTGTGTTCCTCTTTAGAGAAAAGCAACAGCAACATTAGGGGCTTTTGAATATGAGTCCTCTTCTTATGGGTGGGAAATTTTCAGAGATTTGGGAAGGGCAAGAGGTCTCAGCCCTTAGACATGTATCACAGTCCCCACATCAGTTGGGACAGGCCCAGGGGCTTGTCCCGAGCCCAGAGAGGACCGGCCTGGAGCGGCAGCGTTGTGGTGTTCAGAGGAATGCCTTGTGGGGGACTTTTACAATTCCCAGCACACAGAGAGGGGTGAGCATTTCCTTTCCGAGTGACTTCGGACTTATGTCATGATCTGGAAGGAGAGGCTTCAGCCACCAACCTGGAACTTTCTTCTGCCTTTTCCAGACATATCTCTGTGGCGTTTGGAGAGTAAGAGCAGCGTCGCCTCCAGCGTGCACGAAGCTTGTGCGGCCCACGGTGGGCGGGGTAAGGTCCACGCGCTGTTGGCTGTTTTAGCATCTGATGCTAAATTAAGCCTCGTGTTTTCAGTCTAGTTCCCAATAATAAACTTTCTGAAAGAGAGCAAGAATTAAGGAGCATCACTGCAGAGAGGGCTTTAGGAATTTTAAATAGTCCCGGTTCATTCATCGCCTTTCTTATTCTACCCTGGCCAAGAGCAGAAGGAATGCTTAGTGGCCCCTTCTTTTGCTGCCCGGGATCTGTGGTGCCGTGAAATTCCTCAGACAGCGAACCTGGGTCACGGAACCTGGGGCCCCTCAAACATTGGCCCCTCCCCATTATTTCCCCAGCACCAAGAGTTATACGTTTTTGTTGCCGGGAAGTTGGAGGGTCCCGTGTTAACTATGCACTGAGCTTTCCAAAGCAGAAGGCGGGCCTCTCCGTATTCAGGAGCATATTTTTAGAGATAGAAAAGATCTTGACCATCATGCTGCCTCATCTCTTTCCACAGCGAGGAAGTTGGGCTTGGAGGGCGACGCTGACGCCGGCCTTGGGCTGCGGCAGCCAAGCCCCAGGTGGACGGGGGCCCGGGGCTCCCCCCACCCCCACCGTGACCTCTGCCTGATCAGGCGGGGGCGCCCCTTGTCCTGCTCCGTAACACACAAAGCTCCGAACGACAGGGACCTGAAGGCACGAGCCTGGCCAGCTTCTCTGACGGCACACGCTGGGGACAGTCAGGGTCTTGTGTGTCTGCGCTGTCCATCAGGGCCTGGCAGGAGGTCGGGACCTCTGCAGTGACCCCGAGGGTGACAGGGGCCCAGGCGGGGGGCAGGGGATGCAACCTTGAGCGCCAGCCTTTCTCACCTGCAGCCTTCGGTCGTGACTCTCATGACCTTAATCTTTCATTAGGCGGAGGTTCTGGGTGGCCCCATCGTGGCTGGTGTCTGAGAGAATTCTCAAGCCCTGGCCGGGTGGTTCAGTTGGTTGGAGCCTCGTCCTGTACACCAAAAAGTTGCAGGTTCAATCCCCGGTCAGGGCGCATACCTAGGCTGCAGGTCCGCTCCCTGATAGGGACATACAGGAGGCAACTGATCGATGTTCCTCTCTCTTCCTCTCTCTCTCTCTAAAATCAGTATATGTGTCCTCGAGTGAAGTTTTTTTTTCTTAAAAAAAAGAAAAGAATTCTCAGGTTAGCAGATGAGTCCTGCAGTTTCTCAAGGGTGAGTTCCCCCGTAGAAGGAGCATCTTCTGTGAGATGTGGGAAGAGGGCTGAAAACTCCCTTCCACGTGCACCTGAGCCCTTCTCTTGGGAAACAGCGAAGGCAGCGCCTCCTGGCCCGCCTTCCTTTCCGTGCCTCCTGAGTCTCCCCCGGACACGGAACCCGCTTGTGGCTGGGCTCTGTCGTCTTCAACCCTCCATCCTGGGGGTGCTGTGGGGTCTAAGCCCCAAGGCCCCACGAGGCCCTGAGTCGACGAGGCCCACGCCTGACATACCACTGGGAACGCAGGCTCCCCAGGGGAGGCTCGGGACGTGCTGGGCGCTGTCCCAGGCACTTCACAGAGACAGGGGGTTATTTCGTCCTGCTCCCGACTCCAGGAGGCAGATGCTGTGGTTGCCCCTGGTCTTTGGGGGCGCAGGGCGAAGCCCTGTGAGGTTAGCCCGCGGGCTCACAGCCAGGTCCGTCCAGCTGCTGAGCCCTGAGCCCGGGGCCTCCACCCGGCTGCCTCCACTCAGGGCCGGGCTGGGGACGCAGGGGGAGCCGCCCCTTTATCTGTTTGCCCAGCAGCACTGAGTCACGAGCGCAGACAGTTTAGCGAGAATGCGCTCAGGAGACGCTGAGACGCACAGGCCGTGGGGCGGGGAGCCCGGCGCCCACCCGCCTCCACCAGGCCCCTCCTCACACACCCGTCCCCTGTGCTGGGGGCGGCTGGGGCTCCTCTGTGCCGTGCGGACTCCCTGGCCCCTGGTGGATGGGAGGCTCTTATCAGCAGCCCTGGGGAGTCTGGGTTTTCTCTCTACCCAGTGAGTAAATGTGCATTTGGAAATGCAGGCTGGGAGTGTCCACAGGTCAGGGCACTCTGGGCGATTGGCCGCGGAACAGTGCCTACCGCCAGGCTGGCAGGAGGGGCCCTCCGCCGGGGTGGGTGCCCTGGGGCTGGGGGGCCGGGAGGCCTGGGGCTGCTCTGTGCAGGCTGGCGGCGTGCTCCGGCTGGCTCGCAGCTCATCGGCCCGTGGCCGGGCGCCCGGAGGTGGGTGGGGAGAGACAGGTGGCTGCTCTCTGGAACATCATAAAACCGCTGCAAACCACGTGCTCTGTTTTCAGAGACGCTTGCCAAATTCTTGCCCTTGACATAATTTTCCAGGTCTTTCTACTAGAAACAAGGCTTAATTTGGAGAATGAGGGAGGGAGAAAATGTGAAGGCCAGGAAGGAAGAGCCAAGTTAGGATAAAGCTGTGAGGATTCTGAAAAGAAAAGAGGAATGTTATCCCAGGAACCTGTTTGAAGGACAGACAGGGACCGCTTGCCCCTGCCTCCTGCAAAGCGAATGTTCAAAATCACAGCCGCATTCAATGGCTGGGCCAGGCACAGCTGGGCAGCCAAGAAGGCTCATGAAGGCACCCGGGGCCTCGGGCCCCCATTCAGCTTCGGGAAAACTGTACTGCGGTCTCTTAGGGGGTGTCCACTCCCAGGGCCATGGCAGCCCCCGGACGCGGGGGACACGCTGTCTGCCTGCCTGCCCCCGTTCACGCTGCTTGAGCTCAGTCCTGGACCCGCGCTGGGACGCCCCGAGGACACTGAGTCATAGCCTCCTTGTCAGCCAAGACGTTTCTGGGAACGCGAAGAACACTCCGGCAACATGACATTCCTCAGCTTGTAGTCGGAAGGCAACTCCCCACTTCCTTTCTAGTCACGTTGCATCATCTTTCCAAACAGGACCAAACAGATTCATTTGAAACTTACATGCCTTTAGGAAAGAAAGGCAGGGAGACGCCGGCCCCACCCTGCTCTGTGGAGGGCCCCCGATTGTCCTGCCCAGGGGGCGCCAGGCAGGCAGCGGGCCACGCTCTCTTGCCTTTCAGGGGACGAGAGAGACACACGTCATGTGTTTTCTGTGCTTCTCTCCTCGCCCTGGAAAAGCACCCACCCAAGTCACAGGCGCCTGCGGGCACATCAGTTCCTCGTCACCTGAGACTCCATCACAGGAAAAGGGGGTGGTCCCTGTAAAACCTGTGGCCCGTGGGCAGACTCTTGCATGTCTAAATCCCAGAAGGACATGATTTATTAACAGTGCGGTTAACAGACCAACGTTGAAGGCTTGCGGAGGGGAGCTGGGGGCTGGGGGAGGTGGGTGCAGCCGTGAACACAGTGGGCATCTGCTGTCCAGAGGGCGCAGTGTCCTGGTGTGGGTGGGCCCTCCGCGTCCTGCAGTGCAGGGCGCTCCAAGGACAGGGCTCCAGTGGGGGCTGAAGGCCGCCTGGAGAGGGGTTGGGGGGACCGGCTCCGGCGGGATGCTTGAGCTGGGCTGGGAGACCACGGGGACGGTGAGACATGGTGTCTGCTGGTGGCGGGGCCTCCCAGAGAGGGGTGGGGAAGAACAGAGAAGAGGCCGACGGGCCGTTGACGCAGCATCGGGAGAGGCAGAAGGAAGCCGGCGGGTGGGGCGCAGGCGGAGGGGTGACCAAGGCGGACGTGCTCGGACAGTTCAGGCTTCGGTTGCCGGCGGCTGTGAGCCATCGCGGAGTGGCAAGCTCCAGGTGTGTGTGGCCGTGCCTTGAAATCTGGCCTGAGAGAGGCTGAATGGGGCCCAGTCAGGACCGGCGCCCGTGCGGGGGCCGGAGCGGGGCCGAAACCACGGCCCGGGCCGGGGTGTGCGGGGTGGCGATGGCCACTGTGCCCATCACGGAGGAGCTGTGCACCACTAAGCAGCCACGCGGGCCATCTCATCGCACGCGGACCCAGAGCCCTGAGTGGCCGGTCTACTACCGCCCTGTCTTGCAGATGAAGAAACTGAGGCTCGGAGGAGGGAGGGCGGGCTCGCGGCCGTGCACAGCACAGGCAGTGGGGCTGGGGTTTGAACCCCACTCTGAGCGCCTGAGGCAGACCGCCGGGAGCCAGCTAACAGGGGAGGGGAAGCTAGGAGTTCTAGTCGTCCGGATGCCTCGGAGGACGGATGACAGTGACCGGGCGGGGGACAGGCAGGTGTGGAGCAGGATCTGGGGACTAGGCTGGCTGGGACCAGGGAAAACTTGACCCTAGTGGAGAGCCGCAGGTGGCAGTGACAAGAGCGACCGGAGCTGCAGGCCGGGGCTGTCGGGAAGCTGTTTGTCCGCATCCGGGGCTCGGGAGGCGAGGCACAAACGGTGCTGGAGGAGCCAGCCAGGCACGTGGCTAACGCTTGCCACGCATCCTCAGGACAACGTGACGGCCTGTGACACGCTGCTACTGTCGTCGGTGGTTTCTATAGGAGGACACAGGAGCCTGGAGACATTGGGGAACTTGCCTAGAGCCACACGTGCTGAGGGCTGACTGAGAGGCGCCCACCGGGGCGGCGATGGGGAGAGTCACCCCGAGCGGCAGAGCTGCAGGCGGGGCCGGCGGGCTCCCCCGCTTCCTTCACTGGCAGGCCTGCCTGCGTCTGCCGGCGTTCCCACACGCTGGTTTTGTAATAGGACAAAAACGTTTTAATAAAGCAAAGGAATGGAAATGGAAGCTGGTAGACTTTTGGAAGACAGTTTCCCGACCTCCATTAAAGCTGAAGATCTGGCATGTTTTCCGATGCAGCAATTCCATTTTTGGAAGATAAACAAGCAGGCAGAGACGTCCGAAGATATCTAAGGCAGGCTCTACCGGTTCCTTAAATGTCCAGCAATGGCAGGCTGGGGTTCGCTGTGGCCCTGCCGTCCAGTCGGTTCAGTACTAGGCGGCATCCAAAGGGACCGTCCAGCCGACATGGGTGCGTAAGGACCGCTCGCGGCCTACCGACATGCCAGGGAAACACGCTGTAGGAGGCTCTCTGCCAGTTGGTCTCATGCTGGTTAAAAGAGTGCATTTATGGAACGCATTCATTCAACAATTCCGCTGGCTAGAGAAGGACAAATGCAAATGATTATTTAATTGTGATAACTGTTGGTGGGAAGAGGCCGCACTGAGAGGGATGGGGAGGCCACCTGCCCAGCTTAACAGGCGGGACTGGGAGGCAGGAGTTGAAGGGCGTATCCTGAAATGCTTTGTGACTTTAATCTGTCTTTTTTTAATTAAAATTTTTTACAATTCATTGATTTTAGAGAGGGAGAGGCGGTGGGGAGGAAGAGAGAGACATTGACCTGTCGCCCCACCTGTGTGTGCGTTGGTTGGTGGCCTCCTGCATGTGCCCTGACGGGGAACTCGTACTGGGACGATGCTCTACCCAACTGAACGCCCTGGCCAGGGCTAGTTTTTCTTTTTAATTATCTGTATTTTTTTAATTTAGGTTTCTTTGTGTGTGTGCAATAAAAACAGACTTAGGAAGAAATACTTGCTTTTAAATGCTCTTTAAAGCAGGAAGGGAAGAGACAGACGCAGAGCGGGAAGGCGAAGAAGGCGCGCGCAGGCCCTCACAGGGAGAGCGGGCCTCTGAAAGTCGCGCTGGGGTCCGACAGGACTCGGGAGGCCTCACGTCTCTCCTGAAAGCATCCGTCCGCTGAGCTTTGTCTCCAGCCACCGCCCCCTCCGCTGGGGCCGCGTTTCACATCACCTCCTCCTCCTGCTGTCCCGGGCCCCGGGGTTCTGGGTGGGCACCCAACTTGGCATCAGAACCGCCTCCGCTCCCCTTCACTCCGGCCCCACAACGGTCAGACTGGGCAGGCCCCAGCCTCGCTCACCTGGGCTCCCCACCTCCTTCAGTCACATTGCCAGACACCCACACCTACTGCCGTTCTAGATTCTCTCCTGCCTCTCCCCACGCACATTCGTCACATCCCTGGGACGAAGCCCTCCGCTCTGACCTCTGACCTCGAGCCTATGCCCCTCAGGCCTCCCGCAGCTCTTACCTGGGCCAACCCTCCTGTGGCTCGTCAGCCGTCTTCCTGCCCCCAGCCTGCCCTCCGCCCCATCGCAGGGTCCAAGTGTCACCAGACCAGCGGTTTTCACCCGGCACGACGCAGGGATTTTTAAAACACGCACTACCTAACCAGTTAGTCAGGGGCACAGGCCTCTTTTTCCCTTAGAGTGTCAAATATAAAAGTGGCAACAGCCAGCGCAATAATAGCCTACTGATATGAATGAACCAAAAAGATACCTATTTTTTGTCAGATTGGCAAATACAGTTTTTGGCGTGCCGCGGAATTTCAGCCATTACTTGATGTGTGCCATAAGATGGAAGAGGTTGGAGATGGCTGCGTTAGACCATTTTGCTCACATGTAACACCCTGCTCTCACGTGCTCCAGAATCAAGTCTAACTTCTTTAACATAGTGCAAATAATGAAGCAATAAGCATAGCGTTCATACGACCTATTATTTTCATTCAGATTATTTCCTTGGGATAAGTTCCCAGGATTTGAGGGTTCGGGGTTTCACTTGCGAAATGAGTGCTGAGCCCCCGCCCCCACGTTCATCCCCAACATGAACGTTGTTAGGGTTGGTAGAAAAAAATCTTAACATTTGGGCCCCGACTCTGCCTCGATGTTTTTCTCTTTAAATCAGGTCGAAGTTACCTTTATACTGAAAAAAATGATTCTGCTTCTAAAGCATTGTCTTTAAGCACCCTTCTCCCTCCTGAGTGTTGTGTATGGTTTCGCTTTTCTGCGCAGTTTGCTTCAGGTTAGAGGAACCTTTTTCTATAAATGTCAGGGATTTCGCAAGTTTCGCAATGTGGCAATTTCTCCCCAGTGAACTTTTCTGAAGAGCAGGCAGGGGTGAGTGGGAGTTTGGGCTTCCTTTCGTCTAGGTACTCTGAGTTTACAGTGACAAAAATAAAGAAAAACCAGCGAGGGCAACATGTGTATTCTATTCGATAATTAATTATCACTATCTTAATGAGCTGGTTGCGCTTTGTCAATGAAGAAAAATTTAGTAGG